TCCTCCTCCTCCTCCTCCTCCTCCTCCGTTCCCGCCTTGTGATAGCCCCGCTTCCACACCGGCGTCGGCCTCGCTGTGAGCGGTCTGTTCTCCAGGCGCGCCTCGCCTTCCCCAGGTGCACCCGCCGCGTCGGGCTGTGCAGGGGGGGCCCCGGACTTCCTTCCTCGTGCTCCTCGTGCTCAATGCGTGCCCCTTCGTGCTCCTTCTCGTGCTCCTTCTCGTGCGTGCCTCCTCGTGCTCCTCGTGCTCCTCCCTCGCTCCTTCCTCGTGCTCCTCCTCCTCCTCCTCGTGCTCGTGCGTGCCCCTCCCTGCCCTCTCGCTCCTGCCGCCGCCCCCCTCGTGCCTCGCCCTGGCCTCCCGCTCGCACCGGGGCCCCGCCCTGAGGCCAGCCCCCCGTGCCCCGGGTGCGGCTCGGCCCCCCCGCCTCCTCCTCCTCCTCCTCCTCCTCCTCCTCCCCTCCTCCTCCTCCTCCTCCTCCTCCTCCTCCTTCTCGTCTTCTCCTCGGCCGCCTCTTCGCTCTTCCCCATCCTAGTCTCCTCTTCTGCATCTTCTCTCTCCCTTCCTCGCCATGATGCCCCCATCCTCCCTCCCCCTTCGCCTCTCCTCCCTCTCTTCCCTCTCTTCCCTCCCGCTTCCTCCCCCCCTCCTCCTTGTCTCGTCCTTTTCCGTTTCTGCTCCCTCTGCTGCGTTCGCACTCGCTCTCTTCCCGCCCGTGCTCCTGCGTCCCTCCTCCTCGCTGCCATCCCCCCTCTGCCCCTCCCCCGTCCCTCCCTCATCCCTCCTCCCTCCTCCCTCCCCCCCTCCCCCTCCTCCCCCGCTGGCCCGAGCTCCGCGGCGCGCCCTTCTGCTCCGGCACCGCGCCCTGCCGCCCCGAGCGACCGCGCACACGCCGCGGTGGAGCTGCCGCTGCTGCTGCTGCTGCTGCTGCTCCTCCGCCTCCGGCCCCGGCAGGCTGCCGCCGCCCGGGGCTCGGCGAACGGCCGCTCTTGTTGTGGAAGTCGACCGGTGGAGAGGAAGCAGGCTGCCAAATAGTTTCCAGATGAACATGTTTCAAACATGGTTAGAATATGTGAAAGCACGTTTGAAACATGTTTGGAACACGCTTTACGCATTTAAAACGCATCTTTAACTCAATGATCGGATTGTGAAAGTGTCCATTGGCATGGCATCCACAGCGCTCTTGTGCCCTGTCAACCGGCATCGCCCAGACGTGTGCAGCCTTCTCGGCGAGGACCATCGAGGATCATCTCGGATCACCTTGCCAAAAGTAACTGCGCACGAGGCCGAACAAAGGCACGGGAAATGGACGTCCGAGCGATGGCCAGGTCACCGTGAGCCTGTATCGTATTGTAGCGCTTGCCGTGAAAAAGCTCCGACCGCGCACTGAGAAGGCAGACGTCGAACAACAGCAAAGTTACCCGCTGACGCACCCAGCCCATCCGAGTTCATTGCCAGTATCAATGGGTGCATCCCGAAACGGATGACGACATGGTAGGGAAGGCGACCTGTTTGTGCAAGCTGCATCGGAGCCTACGTACTGCACGCCACACAGGACCGATACAGTCAACCCGAAGAGTAAGGATGAGCAACTTTCCAAAGTTACCCTTGCATCCTTCCCCTTCGCTGGCCGCTTTCGCTGCCGCGCCCCGCTCGCAAAGTGCCGACATGGCCTTCCGAGGCCCCTGCATCCTTGTCGTGCGTCTTTCCTGTACGGGTTGACTCTGTGAGAAATCGCGGGAGGAGGAGGAGGAGGAGGAGGAGGAGGAGGAGGAGGAGGAGGAGGAGGAGGAGGAGGAATAGGAAAAGGAGGAGGAGGAGGAGGAGGAGCAGGAGGATCTGACACAGAGGCGGGAGCGACAGAAGGACGACGACGACCCAGAGAACGAATGTGGCTGCGTGGCTGGCAACAGCCAGGCAGGGCGAGGTCCCGCCTTGACCCCTGGTAGGCCAGGCTCGCGCTGTGTCGACCGGCGGCGGCCCCGCCGCCGGCGCTCGACGCTGGACGCCGGCGGCGGCCCAGAATCCGCCGTAGGGGTCCTGAGGGAAACGGCAGGGCTGGACCCAGTTGCTGTTTTGCCGGACCTTGGCCGTGTTCTGTGTTTCGTTTTGGCAGGACGGTACAGGAGAGCAGGTCGAGCAGAGCGAAAAGCCAAAGCGAAAACGAAGCGAAACACGTCGTGTAGGTCCAGCCCTGGGAGACGGGCCCTGGGATTTTTCACCGTGTTTTGGGCTCCTGGGCCCGCCACGGGCCCCGGGACTGTCAGAAGTCGGCTCAGGATGAAGAGCTGATCCTGTCGGTGGCGGCAAAGAGGGGGGGACGATTAGGGGGGGTGGATATCATGGCGTGGGCCATGAAATCTCCCCAGATTTCATGGCGGCTCTTCTTATTTCACAACGTCCCTGGCCCCCCCCCCCCCCTGGGCCGCGCACATGCCGCCGGCCATGATTTGCGCCCCCCCCCCTCTTGCACGCCCCCCTCTTGGCCGCCTCCAATCCTGGGGAATGCACCAGGGTCCAGGACCCGTTTCCCTAAGGACCCGCTTCCCCCATGCTGATGGAGTTCGACGTTGGATGCCCGCGGCGGCTCAGAATCGGTCGATGTTGAGCTCTCTGACGCTTCGGAGACTCACCACACCCCAAACCACCCCAACCCAGCCCGAAGGCCCCAATTGGCCCTCTGTTCCCAGTGTGGGGGGTCTGGGAACATGGACAAACATGTATGAGGCAAGCCCGTTACCCCCCCAAAAACCCGACATTCGGGTCTTCTGGTTGGGTTGGGGTGGTCTGGTATCTGGTAGGTATCGAAGAGCAACAAACAGGATAAACATCAACTTTTGGCGCTCCGCGCGGATTTCTTGGATCCGCGCTGGGCCCCCCCGGCGGCGCCTCTGGCGCCGTCCCTGGCGCGCTCCGCACGAAAGGGAGGGGCGGTCCAGGGTTATGATGTTCCAACCTACGTTAGCGTCGACCACCAGAAAGAATTCCGAGCACCGAGAAAGTACCGCAACTGGATGGTTTTCACTTGTCGGGCCCTGGGAGGCGATACTCGGTCGACACTTTTTCGATACTTTTCTGGGTGCTCGAAATTGTTTCTGGGATGTGGTCCTTACGTGTGATGGGAGCAACATAAGTCCAGCGCAGAGCCAAGAAATCCGCGAGGAGCGCCAAACACTTATGTTTACGGTGTTTTTTCTTCTTCTAGGTAGAGCGGCGCGGAAGCACCGAGGGACACGGGATCCCGATCCCCCCCCAAAAAAACGGCACCACTCCACCCACGGCCCTCCATGTTGCGCGACGGTCCCTCTGGCGCCGTAGCGCATACCACGCCAAAGCCGGCGCCAGATTTCCTGGGATGCGCTAAGCCCCCTGGGGCCGTAGGCAGGGTGATGCCGTTTGTTTTCTGGTCCAGTCACGCCACAGGACCCGATGGGATTCAACCTGGAACGATCGGGGCCGCGATCGGTTCGAGGTTGAACGATCGATGAGAAGGTGGATGATGATGATGATGATGATGATGATGATGATGATGATGATGATGATGATGATGATGATGATGATGATGATGATGATGATGATGAGGATGAGGATGAGGATGAGGAGGAGGAGGAGGAGGAGGAGGAGGAGGAGGAGGAGGAGAATGAGGAGGAGAGGAGATGAAGAGGCGGAGGAGGACAAGAGGAGAAGATGAGGATAGGGAATGGAGGCGGAGATGAGGATTAGGAGAGAGGATGAGGAGGAGGAGGAGGAGGGAGAGGAGGAGGAGGAGGTAGGAGAGGAGGAGGACGAGGGAGGACGAGGACGAGGAGGACGAGGTGTCGAAAACTTCGCTTGCTCCGACGCCGCTTGAACCTACGGTATTCCGCTGGACCCACCACAAGCCCACGGACGTGGCGGCACTTGCGCAGTTAGCACTTCGAGTCGGCTGGGGTCTGAGGTGGCCCAGCACCTGGTTCCGGCCAGCAGGACCGGGGGGCAGGCTCGAGGTTTTGGGTTCGAGGAGGTTCTCCGGGGTAGGAAACTGCACCAGATGGACCCCGGGAGGGGTCAGAAGGGGGGACGAGATGTTTCATCTCATCCCCCGTTCTGACCGATTGTCTAGGATCCCAACCAGTTCAGTCCCCCACAGCGGCCTCCAACTCCCGGGGACATATGACAGACCTTGGATTTCCATAAGACCACGGCCCTCTTAACCCACAGGGAGCTCGCAGAAGTGGCGGCAGTTTCCCATTTGGCAGCAGCTAGGGAAGGCGAGGTCTATTCTGAAGTTTCGCTGGACCTCCAATGAGCTCAAGCAAGTGGTGACAGTATCGCAGTTGGCCGTCCCCAGAGGGGCGACGTCTAGTTTGGATCTTGAGAACCGCCTTTCGCGCTGGACCTCCTGTGAGCTCTGGAAATTTGCGACTGTATCTTAGTTGGCAGCCCGCACGGGGGCGACGTCTGCTTGGATCTCCTTAGGACCGCCCTCCGCTGGACCTCCCAGGAGCTCACGGAAGTGGCGACGGTATTTCAGCTGGCAGCCCGCAGGGAGGCGACGTTTGGTTTGGTCGTTTTTCAGGCGTCGCTCCGCTGGACCTCTCAGGAGCTCATGAAGGTGGCGACGGTATCGCAGATGGCCTCCTCCGGAGGGGCGAGAACTAGCGTGGATGGTTTTCTGGCGTCGCTCCGCTGGACCTCCCAGGAGCTTACGAAAGTGGCGACAGTTGCGCAGCTCGCAGCCCGCAGGGAGGCGAGGAGGCAGGCCAGGAGGCAGGAAAGAGGTCGGCGGTAGGACGGAGGTAAGCAGGAGGCAGATAGGAGGTAGGTAGGAGGTAGGTAGGAGGCAGGTCGGTAGGAGGTGGGATGCAGGGATATAGAGAGAGAGAGAGAGAGAGAGAGCAAAAAAAAGAGGGAGGCGGGGGAGGAGAAGGCAGCAGCAAACTATATTCAAATTGAGTACCCAGTTCAGGAGGCTCGTGAAAAGCACAGACGTCACTTGTCTCGGGCCCGCGCAGACCTTTGAACAAGCCTGCGTATCTCGCTTGTGATTCTTCGCAGAGAGATCCAGCGCTGCTGCTGCTCCTCCTTTCATTGCCCTCTGGCTCAAGACTGACGCCCAAGTGGTGTCGTCATTTTTTCACTGGCACTCACTCTGTACACTTACTTAGCGCGGGCATCGATCACCATGGCGTGCCGTACGGCGCTAGTGACGGTGCTGCCATCGGTCTGCTCTGCCATCTGGTATAAGCCGTACGCGTCGGCGGACGGCGTGAGCGAAAGCATGGAGAGTGCGCTCAGGCCTACCGTCGAGGCCGACTGCCAGGTGGCCAAGGAGGGGTCCTTGTGCTACACCTCGATACAATGGCTCCTCTCATCGGGCTTCAATGAAAACCCTACGTGGTACCCTGGCTACAGCAGCGAGTCCAGCCCCGAGGAGGTGCAGGACATGCTCTATGGCCTCGAGAAGGCGTCGTGCCCCAGGCCCTGCTTCGCGAAGGTGGCGCCGCCCTCTGAGGACGATGCCACCGCTGCCAGCATGCCCAAATTCGACTGCCGGGACACGACCGAGGGTGACCTGTGCTACTCTTCGATCGCCTGGTTAAGGGAGGCCGGCTTTCAGTTGTACCCTGATTGGTACCCTTCCCTCTCGGTCAGCTCCAGCACATCTGCGATCCAGGCCGAGCTGCATCGCAAAGGCAAGTCCGACTGCGCTTGGCCATGCGCACTCGAGGAGGAGAGGCAGCAAGCAAAAATGGAAGCTGGCGCTGTGAAGGATTCATCCAAGTACGCAGTCCAAAAAGATGCTTCCAGACCGGATAAAGAAACGGAGATCTTGTCATCGACCACGCAGCCAGAGGAGGACACGTTGGTAGATCATGACTGCAGGGACGCACAGCCAAATACGCAGTGCTACAATGATGTGGCCTACGCTTTGGCAGAAGGCATCCGGCTTCACGAAGCCTTGTACGAAGGCCTCACGCAGGCTTCCCACTTCAAGCAGATCCAGGAACACCTGTACCTCAACAACCGATCTGGCTGCACGAGGCCCTGCCCAGAGCAGCAACTTGATATCAGAGAGTTGGTCGATCTCCCAGAGGGCCTCCGCGAGCTGAAGAGGGTCGAAGACATGAACTTTAAGGAGCTGACCGCGTACCTCAACGGTGATTGGGACGGTTACGTGGCGAAGCAGTTCCATCCCAAAATGGAGATTACTTCGACATTCGAGAAGCGTCTGTACGACCCCGTGACGACCACCATCCTGGAGGAGTCGTTGCCCTTGCCGATGATCGACACCAACCTCCAACGGGATGGAAGCCGAGGCGCGCTCGAGGCCAACTCCGACAGTTCCTCCGACCAGATGGCGGCCGAGGCGCGCTTGAGAGACTTAACGCATTCGTGCCAATATTTTATTGCGTCATGTCATGTTCAATGCGCGGTGGTGTGTACTGATGTTTGGCATCCGTCAAGTTCTCTCCCGTGCCCTTCCCCTCGTTGGCACCGTCCGCCACCCCTCCCTCGGCAGTGATCCGTCTATGCGTCCATGCGTTCTCTCGTCCGTTCTCCTGTCCATCCATCTGACCATTTATTCATCTACCTATCCCTTCTAATCGGTGCTTGCAAGAGCTGTGTGCAGCAGCTCGAGCCGCTTCATATGATGCCTTTGATCTTCCAGACCCAGCACCGCTAGGTCGCGACGGGTAGCACCCCGTGCGCTTCTTTGTTCACCTGTTACGTCCAGGGGTCTTGCCTGCAGCCAGCGCTGGGACTCCAGGCGCTAGTTGGATTCGGGCCCAACGCCCTCACCTGCCTGACTCTGCCCCCAGCCGCCGCTTCTGCCGTACACGGGCGCCTGCCGGGCCCTTCGTGATGGTGCAAGCACATCCGCGCACGGTGCACACCAGCACTGCGGCCCTCAGCTGGTGCCCCGCATGGACATGGTGAAGGCGTCGGCGCTTCGACGCGCCGATCTCCCAACTCTGACTTCATTCCACCCGCATCCGTGGCCCCGCCACGGCACCGCTCCGTGCTCCCACGCCCGCGATGGACGGGCACACGAGCATTGCACTAGGGTTCGTGATCAGGGCAGCCACAGCTGGTTTGTACTTGCCACGGCCCTGGTGTTCTTTCGCGCAGCTACCCCCGGTGTGGCGCGGCGGCCGCAGCGGACCGTCCCGGCACGCGCTGCCGCGGCCCATGGCGTTCCCGTTGGTCGCCGCAGGGGCGCGAAGATAGCCTCGCTTCGCACCTCGCGACTTGGGCCAGAGATCCACCGCCAGAGTGCACACGTGTCCACCCCCTCGGAGTCGTGCGTCGAGATCTCGAGGACCCCTCGAGATCTCGAGGACCCCTCGAGGACCTCATCGAGGACCCCTCGACATGAAGATGTTCACACCCAGCGCCACCCAGGGATCTGGGGCAGCAGGGCCCCTGCAGCTGTGGAACTTTGGGGTCCTCCTCCCAGTCGCAGGCCCTGCCCTTTTCCCCAGCGGGGTCGCGCGAGACTGCAAAAGGACGTCGCGCGTCGCGCGGCGCGGGCGGTGACGCCCGGGGGCCCCGATCTCGCATCTCACCCACGAGCTGCGGGGCACGACTGCCATCGCTGCGGGCGGGGGGGGGGGACGCTCGCCGTGCTGTGCAGCGGCAGCTGGGCGTTCCGTCCAGCCTCCGGCTCGCCGCGTGGGCACGATGTGCCACCGTCCATCCTCTTCGCGCGCCGCACGGGCTCTGTGCTGGAGCGGCGGCAGTGGCCAGCACGGGGTCACGCAGCCCCGTGGGGTCGCGGGGCCCCCGTGGGGCTCCCGAGAGCTCCCCCCCCGAGGGCTCACACGACATGCCTGGCAGCACGGGTGCGTGCCTGCCGCAGGTGGGCAGCGCCAGGAGGGCGGGCGCGACCCGGCGCCTCCTGGCGACGGGCGCCGTGCGGGCGGGCGCGAGGGCCCCTGGCGGTGCGGTGGCGCTCCGGCCGCCACGTGCACGACGTCACGGCCGCGCGTTCTCCTGGTTGCCGCGGGGCTCCCAGGTTTGCCGCGCTGCAGGAGGGCCCACCACGTCGTCTGCACGCCCCGCGGACGCAGCCTGTGCCAGACGTGCCGCGCGTCGCCGGACGAATCTCCACTGCCCTTGCCTGTGCCCTGGCTATCCCGCATATGTGCCTCATCCATCAACCCAGCGACCTCGCTCCATCCACCCGTCCGCCGTCCACCCATCTACGAACCAACCCATTCATCCATCAGTCATCCTCCTGCTCCCTTCTCCGTCCTCTCTTCCCTGACCTCCCTCTCCTCTATGCTATCTTCATATCTCCCCAACTCCTTCGCCCCATCCCTCACCCCTCCTCATCCCTCTCCTCATTCCTCTCCTCATCCGCCTCTCTCCCTCACATCCCTCCCTTGCTCCATTCGCCCTCACCCTCGCCCTCCCTCTCCCTCCCTCCCTCCCTCCCTCCCTCTCTCTCTTTCTCTTACCCTCGTTTTGTTATCACATTGCTTATTTGTGTATGAGTACATGCATGCATGTATGCACGGATGTATGAATACATCCCTTCCTTATTTTATGTGTTTGTCCACTAGGCTACATGCCTGGGTCGGAATGGCGCCTTCGTTTCAGTGGAACCTTGGTCTTTCGATGCTCTCGAAATTGGAGGGAAAAGTCGGTGTCATGGTCGTCCTCGTCGTCAGGGGAGGAGGAGGAAGAAAGGGAGGATGAGAAGAACATGATGTGAAGGCGGAGGCGGAGGACGAGAAAGGAGGACGAGGATCATGTTAAACCTTAGCGATAGCGACTTTCCGATGCATGAGTCAGGGGTTCGAGTCTGTATTCCGGAATGCGAGAAGCCATGGCCACAGGAAGCTGGGGGATCCCGCGGGTTGCGGGGCGCAGGTCCTGGTAATCCGCACGGGCCTCCGACACTTTGTGCCCCTGTGCAGTCTCTTCTTCTTCTTCTTCTTCTTCTTCTCCTTCTCTTCTTCTCTTCTTCTTTTTCTTCTTCTTCTTCTCCTTCTTCCCCTTCTTCTCAACACCGGCCAGATACGGGCGCGCCCCCCGCGCTCGCGCAGTGCGCCCGCTCCTGCCCCTCCGTCCCTGCCCCTCTTCCCGCGGGGCCCGCGCCGATCCGATGCGATACCGATGCTGGCCAGCCCGAGCCGATTTTTTGTTCAGTTGTCCCGACGTTCCGATGCGGCCCGGTCCCTGCATCGCGTGGGTCCTCCTCCTCCTCCTCCTCCTCCTTTTCCTCCTCCTCCTCCTCCTCCTCCTCCGCCTCCGCCTCCTCCTCCTCCCCCTCCCTCTCCTCCTCCTCCTCCTCCTCCTCCTCCTCCTTTTCCTCCTCCTCCTCCTCCTCCTCCGCCTCCGCCTCCTCCTCCTCCCCCTCCTCCTCCTCCTCCTTTTCCTCCGCCTCCTCCTCCTCCTCCTCCGCCTCCGCCCCCCGTCCTCCCCCTCCCTCTCCTCCTCCTCCTCCTCCTCCTCCTCCTCCTCCTCCTCCTTTTCCTCCTCCTCTCCTCCTCCTCCTCCTCCGCCTCCGCCTCCTCCCCTCCCCCTCCTCCTCCTCCTCCTCCTCCGCCTCCTCCTCCGCCTCCTCCTCCTCCTCCTCCTCCTGCTCTGGCTCCGTGCCGATGCAGCCCGATCCGACGCACGTTCCGACTCGACCCGATCTCCCGGTTCGGTGCTGACGGATCTCGCCCCGCCCGTTCCCCTTGCCGCGGTCGGGCCGCCGAAGAAGGAGCCCTTTTCGTTGGGGTGGGGCTCAGTGTCCCTTCATTGATCTCGAGTTGTTCCTGGGTTTTACTTAGGTTTTCGTTGGGAGATCGAAGGTCACATGATGGAGAACAGGGACCTCGTTCCTTATTTGGGGTGCCTTATGACAGCGTTTCGACTGTACTCGGGTGCGTTGCTGGGGGGACGCACTTGTCTCGCGGCGGCGGCATCGGGAGCGGATGCCCGTTGGCGAGATTTTAGGGAGCATTTCGGGAATGATAATTGGTAGGTGTGCGTTGAGTTGTGCGCAGCCGGAGAGCGCGCCCATGCTTCGAGCCTGCTTCGCGGTCCGTGCGGGTCGGTGTTGGGGCGACTTTTGGCCAACCTGAGGACCTCAGGGTGCCGTCTCGAGACACCTCAGTGCATTTCTTGGTGGCACATCAGGCGACTGGCGAAAACCAAGCGCTATCAAGCATTTGAGGTTTTCCGGTGTTTCCCCTAGGGGGCAATCTTGGAAGCTACCCTGGAAGCCTTGCGATTTCCTGGGAGCCTGCGTGGGAGACTCAGGGGAAGCCTCGAGGCCTACACTGGTACGCAATTCAATCTATGTGTGTGTGTTTCTAGTGCTTTGGGGGTCGCTTGTTCAGCCGCAGTTACCCATGACCCATGACTGTTCAAGATCTTCCACGTTCGGGACTAAAAGTGTAAAACATCGACGCGCCGACCAGCAGCAAAACCCATACATGAAGGACACCTCCGTGGACAAAACATTTTTTTTGCACCGACGCGCCAGCGAGTCCGACCAGCGGAACGCGATTGGGGTTACCCTCAAACCGAATTGGCTTTCGCGGTGAAGCGGTGCGGCAAAGGCGAAACGCCAGGAACCGCACGCAGGCGGAGCCAGAGCAGAGCACCAGGCGGTGCAAGAACGGAAACGCGGACAGGCAGTCGCCGACAGCTGGCACGACCGAGGAGGGAGGAGGAGGAGGAGGAGGAGGAGGAGGAGGAGGAGGAGGAGGAGGAGGAGGAGGAGGAGGGGGAGGGAGGAGGAGGAGGAGGAGGAGGAGGAGGGAGGAGGAAAAGGAGGAGGAGGAGGAGGAGGAGGAGGAGGAGGAGGAGAGGGAGGGAGGGGGAGGAGGAGGAAGGGGAGGAGGAGGAGGGAGGAGGGAGGAGGAGGAGGAGGAGGAGGAGGAGGAGGAGAGGAGAGGAGGAGGAGGAGGAGGAGGAGGAGGAGCAGGAGGAGGAGAAGGAGTGAGGAGGAGGAGGAGGAGGAGGAGGAGGAGGAGGAAGGAGGAGGAGGAGGAGGATGAGGACGAGGAGGAGGAGGGAGCAGGAGGAGGGGGGGGGGAGGGAGGAGGAGGAGGAGGGAGGAGGAGGAGGAGAGGAGGAGGAGGAGGAGGAAGGAGGAGGAGGAGGAGGAGGAGGAGCAGGAGAGAAGGAGGAGGAGGAGGAGGAGGAGGAGGAAGAGGAGGAGGAGGGGGGGCCACCGCAGGGCGGCACCAGATGGTCGTCCAGCCGTGGGGCTTGCCAAAGCATCTACCCACACGCGCACACACACACACACACACACGGTGTTTCGTTCGACGCGGCGACGTAGAGCAGTCACCCTCTCAAGAACTAACAAACCGATCGAGACAAACGATCCATCTTATGTTAATGGGTGCAAAAAGTTGAACAACTCACAGAAAGTCGAAGTTGACTGCTGGGCGTCAAAGTCAAGACGGTGTAGGGGACGCGAAGGCAGGACAACATGATACCACATACACACGGTTCTGCGAGGGGGCCGGTGAATTCTTTCTGCGGGGTCATACATTGAAGGGCACATTAAAGCACACCCATGGTTGAAGGCGGTCACCAGCACCACGGGCCCATTGTTGGAGGAGGTCACCAGCACCGCGCCCGACACCGCCCTCGAGGTTTCTGAGGACGGCTTCCTCGTGGAGAAGGTGGTCCCGACCACAGACGCGGCCCGTCGGGTGATGGAGTGCCTCCGGAATTTATCGCGTCAGCTGAACCCAGATAACTTCGCCTACCTCAGGGCGGAGTGCGAGGACGTCATGGCGAGGGAGCTGCCCTCCACAGGGGGCCAGCGGGGTGCGCTGCAGACGGAGTCGATGCGCTACTTTGTGTGGGCACTTCGCCACGTGGAGGAGATGAAGACCAAGTGGACGACCGTCGTGGATCAGGACCAAAAGTTGGTCCCGGCCTCGCAAGCGGCCTATGAGGTCATGGCGTGTCTCCAGAAACTGTCGAAGGGATCCGTGACCGAAGCGACCTTTCCCCTACTCGTTGGGGAATGCACGGACATCATGACGAAACATATGCCCAACACTGGGGAGCAGCATGACGCATTGTATAAGGAAGCGATGACGAAGTTCAGGGAGGCTCAAAGCTACGTGGATGAGCTGAAGGCCAAGGCCAATGTTCATGAGAATGAGACAGAGCAGGGCGACGTGGTTGACGCCGACGTTCAGAAGGTTGTCAAAGCTGTTGTGACGGACGATCCCATGCCGATGATTGACGCCGACGGCCAGAATTTGTCGAATGACATGCCAATGATTGACGGCGGCAATAAATCTGCCATCGAGGCCATGCCGATGCTTGATAACGGCGGCAAGACCCTTGACAGCGAGCCCATGCCGATGCTTCACGATGATGGCCTGAACTTGGAGACACAGGCAGCACCTACAGTCGCCACGAGCCATGAGTCTGAGAAGCAAGCCAGTGAGTCACCAGAGGAGGTCGCACAAAGGATCCAGAAGCAGGCCCTGGAAGAGGCGGCAGCACAGACGACGACGGCTGCCGCGCACAGAGAGACCGAGGCGGAGATG